GTGGTGTATGAGTTGTGGTGTATGATTTATAACTTACTGGGTATTGTTTGGCTCTCTTTGGGTTCGGTGATGAAAGAAGTTTGGGCATGGGGTAGGTTTCACACCACAAAGAATATTGTAAAAATTATTCCTTTGACTATTTTTTGGGTCATTTGAAAAGAAAAAGAAAGAAATTATAGAGCTTTTGAGGGTGTAGAAGTTGATAGATACAAACTTAGAGATAGGTAGTTTAAATATTTTGGGTCTTGTATATTGGGGCATGACATTATTAGGGATGAAGCTTTTGGGAATGTCATTGATACTCTTACGTCTCTGGAAATTTCTTTGTATGTAGGCAGTACCCCCTTTGGTGCCATCCTAACTTTATTCTAACTTTTTCTTTCAAAAAATAAAAAATAAAAAATAAAAAACCCTATGTGTAATAATTAGGTTTTCATCCTTAAATTCTAAGTAAATTATCTTTAAAAAATCCTCTAGCCAAAATCTTAAAACTCTATACTCAAACAATCCCGAACCCATCTAAAAAAAGAATCCAAATTGTGATTCCTAAACACTTCAAACAGCCACCAGCTCATTCACTGGTCATCGTCAAGAGGTGATCGACTCAGCTGTCTACCACCTGTATCAAAAGACTCCAATCAGTAGACCCTTGAAACCCCTCTGTGAAACTCCATCCATAAATTCTGTCAGGTGCAAATCTTCCTAGTTGTTATCTCTCTCTCAACCTGTACTCCTGCCCAACCATGTCTTACACGAACCTCTGACCTGCAACTCCCACCTGCAGACAGGTTGATTGACTGAAAATCGTAGCCGTTCCCTGATTGGAAGCCTGTGCGTGAGCGACACACACGCCCAGCCACAAGTATAGCTCACTTGATCCACTCTGTTTGACTTGCCTAAGATTTGAGTTTCACGAGACTAACTCCCTGATCGTTCTCGCCCTAAACCGAGTAGTCTGATGCTAGTTCAAGATAGATTTCAGCTACAATAACAATAACTAATGCTGCATCAAATGCCAGGCAAGATGCATATGAGGCAGAAATTAATACCATATATGAGATAATGGGAAAAATTATTTATGCAGTTTTCAAAGATATAAGGCTTGTGCACTGTGCAATTAATAACTCCACCAATTGAAAATTTGTAAGCTGCACAAGGTGCTAATAGAAGACGTGTTAAAAATAATGCTAGAGATGTTACCAATAAGGTAAAGGTCAAAGCTTGTAATTTTGATGGAAGAAGAGATCTTAATTTTGTCATCAATTGGCTGAACTCAATGGAAGAATATTTTAACTGGTATAACATATCAGATTGCAGAGAGAGTTCTGATCAAGTTTGGTGGAAGCTTACTAAGAAAGGAGAGTTCTCTGTGATTTCTTTTTATAGGCACATTGTTGGGATTGAGCAGGACAGCACACCCATGTTCCCTTTCTCCCAGATCTGGAAATCTACTGTGCCACCCAGAATTGCTTTCTTTGCTTGGGAGGTTTGCAGAGAGAGTATACTGACTCTTGATAAGTTGAAGGCTACGGGCCGGGTTGTGGTTAATGGCTGTTTTATGTGTAATTGGACGGTGGAATCGTGCTGTCATCTGCTCCTTAGATGCCCTGCTGTTTATGAACTTTGGTGTATGATATACAGTCTGTTAGGCCTTAATTGGGCTTCTACGTGTTCAGTTATCGATGAGATCTGGGCGTGGAGTGGTGTTGGTTTGAATAAGAACATTGTAAAGTTAATTCCCTTAACTATTTTTTGGGTTATTTAGAAAGAAAGGAATAGAAGAGCTTTTGAGGGGTTAGAGATTGGAAAGTATAGATTAAGAAATAGATTGGTTTAATTATTTTGGATCTCTTGTGTTGGGTCATGATATCATTAGGGATGTGAATTTTGGGGATGTTATTGATAGCATAACAACCTTGTAAATTCTTTTGTAAATGGATGGTACTTGTTGGTAACCTGTTAATATATATTTACACATTTTATTTAAAAAAAAAAACATATCCGACGTATAAAGAGTTTGATTTGCTAAGAAGAAGTTGGTTACACTCATAAAAACATTGTGTTATGCCAATGTAAGACAGTCAATCTTTATATAGTATTTTATTTTTTATTATAAAGCCCACTAGGATGTAACTTTAACCCTAGTGAATCTTGGTGTTAACAAAATATGATCCAAAATCAGCCACAAAGGCTTTACCAGCTAGGCTTACACATACTTAGGTTGCATTTGGTTCAATTTCCCTTTTATTTCCTATCAACTTCTAGTGTTCGTTCTCATGTTAGTCTTCATGTCCATAATTAGAACATAATTTGTGGCATTTGGCTTATCATAAACCTTGTTTTAAATTTTTTATTGTTGGGATTCACCCCTAACGTGAAAGATAGGAATTGATTCTCAATGTCAAGGAATTCAAGGTGAGTGATTCTATTTACAATAGAACACAATATTTTGCAATTTTACATAATAAGACTAATATGGAAATTAGAACTGGGAATTGTTGAGGAATTGAATAAGACTTGAACCAAAGGCAGGATAGATATAATTTATTAGAAGTTCAAGCTTGATTGGTTAATCGTTGATGACTGATTGCGAGTAAATAACTTTACAGCTGATAACTTTCTAACACATTGAGTTTCAAAAGCTGAGAGCAAAAGAATATCTAATAGTCATCCTCTGTGATCATTATAGCTTGCAAAAAATGGAGCTTAGAAAGATAAGATGTAAAGGGGTTTATCATATTTTATTGAATTATGGGCAAATCTTGGAAAAGAAAGGGATGTAAAGGAGAGGAGTTTATTATGTTTTCTACCAGTCATGCTGTAGCATTGGTACATTTAAATATTTGGTCTGTTTGTTGGTGTCATCATAAAGCAAGAGAATCTTCTACAGCTTAATATTTATCAAGAAAGTATGTCTTCTTAAATAAATGTCTATTACTCACAATCCTAGCTGCCACGATGGAAACCTTTAACATCTTTTAGAAAGCCAAGTTTTCCTGGAACATTAAGGTTTTTGTCTCTGGAGTGTTGTTGGATAGACTAGTGATCTGTTGCAAGTTCGCAAAACCTAAGCGTGCTATTTCTCTAGATATATGTCTTATATGTTATAGGAAGGCTGAGTCACATCAGCATTTTTTTCTTTTTGCCTTGTGAGGTGGCTTGGAGGCTTTGGTCTATAGATAATTGGCTACTTTTGGCTACACAAGGATTATTCTCTCTTCTCTTGAAAGTTTCCTTTCTATGAACCTTAAGGAAGATAGTTCGAAAGTTACTTTATTCCTTTTGCAATTTTTTGGTGTGGTGTAGAAAGAGAAAAACAGGAGATATTTTGAGGGGATGGAAGATGACTTTGATAGAGTTATAGGTAGATCGTTTCAGACTTTGGGTTTTTTGTTTGTGGATCATTCTCAATAGAAAATTTTGGAGATCTTATTGATACTTTGATTGACATGTAAATATTTTTGTACATGGGTTGACACCCCCTTGGTGTTTGTAAATGAATCACATTATATTTTTGCTTCAAAAAAAAAGGAAGATAGTTTGAAAGAAGGAAGCTAGGGTGCATCAGAGGGCTGCTCTCTTCACTGGTCTATGGGTGCTTTGGCTGGAATGTAATGCTAGACAGTTCAGGGATTATTCTTTACCTCAGTCTTTTCTTCAGGATATATATTTTTGTTATTTCAAAAATATATTTCTTTTTTGCATCTTGGCCCAAGGTTCATGAGTCTTTAGGCAATGTTTCTTTGGCTGTTTGCAGTCAGATTGGGAAGCTATGTTGCGTTTTTTAAAAATAAATAAAAGTGAGTTATGGTATTATTATAAACATAGGTACCAAAGGAGTACCACCGGTATGCAAAATAATTACAGATCAATCAGGTGGTCAATGACAATATTGACCAACATCTTCGAAATCTTTAATGTCATAATCCAATAATATAGAACTAAAAGTGTGAATTCATCTATGTATAATATTATCACAATCAGTTTCTATTCTCTCAAAAGCTCTCGTATTTTTTTCCTTCTACACTATCCAAAAAATTGTAAGCAGAATAAGGAATAAATGCCTTTTCTGTTTACGCAGACCTGCCCATGCCCACAACTCTTTACTCACTATACCCACTATAGCCCAATTCAACCCCCATTAGCCAATAAACAGTAGACCAAATGCTGTACACCGCCGGGCACCCAAGTAAAATGTGGTTACAAGAATCCTCATCAGCTTTACACAAATATCATCTATTTACCAAAATGTTACCTCTTCTCCGCAACATGTCAAGAGTCAAAATACATTCTTTTGAGGCTTCCCAAGCAAAGAAAACCACTCTAGGGGGAGCTTTGGACTTCCAAATCTACTTAAAAAGCACTGTCATTCCTTCTCCATCTCTCTTGGTTAAATATTTATAATATGATTTCACAAAAAAACCCCTCTGCTTATTCAGTTTCCATATCCTTCCGTCTTTATGATCAGCCAGGTTAATGTCAGCCAAACAGAGGAGCAAGTTGCTGTATTCATTCACTTCCCAATCTTGCAAATTTCTTTTTACCCGCACAAACCAGCCCCTAACCCCCTCCATCTGTCCCAAACACCTTCTCCACCATAATACCCTTATCACAGGCAATAACGTCTTTGGGAAACTATGTTGCATTGATTTTCTGTTTTTTCTTTCCTTTTTGGTTTTCTGCTTTTAGGAGGATTCTTATCCTCCATTATAATCTTCTGTTCTCTTCTTCTAGAATACTTCTATTCTTTTAAAAGGAAAAACACCGAATGTGATCATTTTCTAACTTAATGGTTTCGTGCTGTATTGTCATTGGCTTTTATGTGGACGGTGGTTCATAGGAAAAAACATGAATTTATTATTAGGTGGCTGCGATCTGGAAAGATCACATACTTCAACTGCTGAATTGTATTTTATTCTCTTAATGTTCAGACTTGTCAATATTTTGAGATTGTTAACAATAAATCAATGTTGAATTTAATCAGTTCTCAAATCCTTCAGGTGTGGTCCTTGCAAAGTGATGGCTCCAAAATTTCAAGAATTGTCTGAGAAGTACCTTGATGTTGTTTTCCTAAAGCTTGATTGTAACCAAGAAAACAAGGTTTGCTTTTCCATTCCCTTTTTGGTTAATGGGCTAATACCCTTTTAATAACTCGGAATTGTTCCCACTCAACATCACCTACCAGAGGCTCTTGGTCGGTACTTTCCATGTCCTTGACTCTGTAGGCAACTGCGTGCATATAAATGTGCTTTCCTGCACAGTTGTACAATACTCGCGGTGCACAAACAGCAGAAACCCTTTCTGATGTTACAATTGCAATTTTTGTTGGCAGCCTTTGGCAAAAGAGCTTGGGATAAGGGTGGTTCCTACTTTCAAGATTCTAAAGCACAACAAAATTGTAAAAGAAGTCACCGGGGCCAAGTTTGATGACTTAGTTCTTGCCATTGAGACTGTCAGATCTAGCTGAATTCCCCTCTCGGGCCTGCCTCCCTTCCCCCTTTTTGTAAGTATTCATGATGCACAGACTTCTGTTAAAATGATTGTTGTATGTATTCATGGAAAGCAATATGTATCTTATGACAGCTGTAATTGGATGGTGAAATTTCAATAAGCATTTGGTCTGTTATTTGTCAAATTCCTTCACCTTTCAGGAAAGAGAATTGACAATAGAAACAATGTAATTATGGAAAACTAAGCCATCGCGTTTCTTATAGGGTCTTTCTTTTGTGAAACTACTGCATGTCTTATAATTTTCAGAGGATTAGGTTCTTTATATCTGCAATTTCATTTTGGATTGACCAAGTGGCCTATTAGCTCAGTGGTAAGAGTGCGTCATTGGTAAATGCATTATGTTTAGAACCCTGTTTGTAAAATTTCAGTTTATACCTTATGGTTTGAATTTTTCTTTCCAACTTCTAGTAACTGTGTATTCTTTTTTCATATATATATATATATATTTTTGTGTATAACAAAGTCGTTATATGTAGTTTGTCTCTTTATCATTGTAGTGTTAAGATCTTGATGGTTGGGTGCCTATCTAAAAGATTATTATACGTATCTTAATTTTTACTGTTAAAATCTTGGTGGTTGAGTGACTGTTAATTTTGGACCTTAAGCTTTTCTGTTTTCCATTTAATTGGGTTCTGTATCAATCACTGAGAGTAGTAACTTAAACTGTATTATAAATTGTTTATATCATTAATACTATATTTTATATGTCACATTCTTTACAGTTTTATTCTATGTTTCTGATAGAAAGACTGGTGTAATAATTAGTTTATGATTCCACTTCTAAATACGCTTAACTTTTTGTCCTTCCTCCCCCAACCCATACTAAATTGCCTCCTACGTCGTTTTGGGGGAGGCTTAATTTGCAAGAAGCAAGAGAACAAATTTCTTTCTTTTCTTTCTTCAGATTTTTCATTAACTTTTCTTAGAGAATTTATTATTTTTTCGTATAATATTTATAGGCTTTAAGCCTATTGAGTTGTATTATTATTATTATTATTATTATTTTTTTTTTTATAAAAAAAAGTTATGGGCTGAGCACAAATTATGATTTGATTTTTTAGTTTAGGACCAACCCAAATTTTAAGTGTATGTTATTTTCATTGATACGGAGCTATAATATGCTAGTTTTGTATAAAACAATTACAGTATATTAGTTTGTTAGAAAATAATAATTTACCGAATTACATTCAAAATTACAATGAGTGATTTTTTAATAACATAGAAGCTGATTATATAATGTTTGTTTATTGAAAAGGTTCGCCTACAATGTGATTGGAGAAAATGAGTGTCAATACAAAAACGTGAAACAAAATAGCTAAAAGACGAATTGGCTTATTTAGAAAGTAGCTGAGTTGTATATTTTTTGCAATACTCAAATTGTCATCTTGGTTTATTTTTTCTTAGACAAAGGAGAAAAGTTTTATATTTTTATGTATCCTAACATCGATCTTCTTCTCGATGCATTCTTCAATAATCATGTGTCTTATCTCGTCCAAAATTATAATAATTTTTTTACTTCTTTGTCATGTCAAAACATGGAGTTATCTCCTAAAAATAATATAGTATAATATTGACTTTGATGTATATCAAATATTTGAAAAGTTGCCATTGACTATAGGCAAGTTAGAAAATTTGAAGAAAAATGTGGCCCACAAAATTTAAAAATTATCAACCTTTACTTATCAGAATACTACTAAAGAATTAACACAAATAAAATGCCTTATTGAAGATAAAATAAAATTTAACAAGAGTGATGATTAAGTTCAATATGGTATGGGTACCATATCTGAAGTTCCACAATTCTCTTTTAATGGCGTCAAGAGATATACTAAGCCTCTTCGTATTGATAATAATAATTTTTATTAGATGGATGATAAGGTCACTACTCTATATATTCAAACAACCTTTATCATTCTTCTCCAATGCAAAAACATGAAACAAAAGAGTAGAGAACTGTTACTTTTAGTAAAAGATGAACTAGTCTTTTTTAACAAAGTAGCAGAGTTGTGTGTTCTTTGCAATACTCATATTGTTATGTTAGTTTCTGCTTCTTTATCCAAACGAGAAAAGTTCTACACTTTTGCGCACCCTAGCATCAATCTTCTTCTTGATTCATTTCTTAATAACCATGTGCCTTATCCTAACCACAATTGTAACAATCTTTCTACTTTTTTGTCCTCACAAAACACAGAGCAACTAACTCCAAAAAATGATGAGGTGTCTAAGACGAAAAGGAGAAAGAGAAAATTTGAAGAGTCTTAGTGGGATAATATTATCATTGATGCATATCAAACATTTGAGGAGCTGACATTAGTTATTGGTAAGTTGGAAAAGTTGAGAGAAAATGTGGCCTACAAGCTTCACGAATTATCAACTTTTACTGATCAGAATATCACTAGTTATGAATGGGAGTTCAGAAACGACAATCCTTTATTTCTTCAAAATAGTACTACTAAATTATCTCAATCGTTCTCCTTAAATAATAAAGATGCCAACACGTATAATTTTCTTAAATCAGATTTCAAAAATAGTAATCTTCTATCAACTTTTATTGATCATAATGTTACTAGCTGTGGATGGGAGATTAGAAATGACAACCATTCATTTCTTCAAAATAGCACTAGTGGATTAGCTCCATCATTCTCCTTCGACAAAAGAGATGCCAATACATATAATCTTTCTGAATCAAATTTCAAAAATAATAGTCATCTGTCAACTTTTATTCATCAGAATATTGTTAGTTGTGAATGGGAGTTTAGAAATTTTAACCCTTCATCTCTCCAAAATAACACTATTGGATTAGCTCCATCATTTTCCTTCAACGATAGAGATGCCAACACATATAATCTTCGTGAATCAGATTTCAAAGATAGTGATCTTTCATCATTTGTAGAAATTGTGAAGCAATAACTGATAGTGACTTACTTTTTTTATGGTGACGACGTTAATTCTTTAATAACAGAGGATGATAGTGATTTCTTTTCATTCTTGGAGTCTGTTTTTTCTAATTGATTGGCAGCTTTTCTGATATTTGCTTCATAAGTATGCAATAAAATGATCTTGTGGTTGCTTACTTTTTTTCCTTTGTTCCCATATTGCTCAATTAATTAGTATAGTTTTTTTCACTCACCAAAGGATGATATAAATATGTTTAAATACCAATACATATAATCATTTAAGTTTGAGGTATAAAAAGTAAAAATGTCCAATAATGTGAGGCGCATTCTAACTCAAACATTGTATAGGAAAATTTTCATTTTATTATAAGAATATATATAACTATTAGATTGCATCCTTAAATCCATGTTGAAGACAAACCCAAAAGCTTGCTAACTAATTTTGTTGTATTATTTCTTATTTTTTGCTTCATCATTTGAATATTAATTAATGATGTATTTTTTCCTTAAAAGGATGATATGAACATAATGATTTATTGTTGTTCGAATTAAATGGTTGATTGCCAAATTGAAAAAGAATATATCTATCTCTACAATTAAATTAAAGTGTTAGATTGAGATTTTATTTCGGAACAAAAAATAAGTTATCACAACTAAGAGAATCTAACAATTAGGTTAGGTCTTTCACCCAGATGCGTCGAGACTAGCTGGAATTGAGAATTTGGTAACTGCAACTCCATCAACATAGTAATGAATTAATCTCTTAATTTTTTAAATGAAACATTATACATAGATAATCATCAACTCATAATACACTACAATGAGGTTTAAATTCGTGAGCTTCAATTTTTTGTATTATTAAATTTGGTTGATTCATGAATTTACTAATTACGGTTTCGTTGCTTACGAAAAATAAATTTTTATCAAATTAAAAGATTTGTGGCAATGCAACTTGAAATGCACTGTAACATTGCTTTAAGATCAAAAGAAAAGAAATTGAATACTTAATCATGACCAATTGAAAAAGATTTTAAAACAAGTTTTTATATTAAAAATAATAATAATGATTTATTTCTCATTGGTGATTGCATTTAAATTTTTTTTATTCTTGGGATCTTTCTTTTCTAATTGTTTACTTTTCTTTGTTAAGTAGGTAATAAAATGTTCTTGTAGTTTCTTAATTTTTTTTTTTCTTTTTTCATATTGATTTTAGTATAATGAAGTATATTATTTTAAATATAATTCAATTATTATTATTTATTTAAATTTCAAATTTCATTCAAGTTTGGTTGATATCTACTTAATTCACAATTTTAATTTTTATATTGGTCTCGATGCATGTAAGAATTGTGAGTGTGTGTGTGTATATATATATATATATATATATATATATATCCCAAAAAGACTAGGCCCTTCTCACAAAAGAGCCCAACTTACACCCTTACCAGCCCATTTATACATTTCCTCCACCAACCCATCATTACTACTAGTCTTTGTAATGAAGTAATTTTCTTCCACACTAATTTATTATTTTTTCAAATTTAAAAAAATTACTATTAACTTACTATTACTATTATTATCTATTTTGAAGCTTGAAAGTCCAAATTATTTGTGAAAGTCCTTCCAAATTCCTAATTAACCCCAAGACTTTTTATTTTAAAACCCAAACAGTCCATTAGCTTTTAAAACGACGTCATTTTGGGGAGGCTAATTTTGTTTCTCAGCGATGACAGAGGAAGAGTGTGAACTGAGAAAGAGAAAAGATGAGGGAATTTCGGCGCCGAAAAGGGCGAAGCAAGTTGCTGCAAAGATGATGATGAAGCCAGAAAAACAGAGGATGAGAGGGAAAAAAAGAGTGAAGGAAAATTTTGTGTAAATTATAATTAAGAAGTTAAGTCCACATAAAAAAAAAATATATATATATATATTAAATACCTTTTTATTCTAAAATTTTATATATATAAAAAAAAAAATTTGTGTGATAATTAGTTTAATAAGATCAATGGTTTTTTTTCTCCCTTAAAAAATTAAAAAATTAAATCAAAACTAATAGAACTTTGTCTCACTAATTAAATAACCATCTGATCCTTCGATCCATTACATATTATTGTATGGTCTTGCCGATGAGTCAATCTCTCATTTCTCCTAAATAAAACTATTTGTTGTAAACTATCAAGAGTTAAGTTAAGGCACGATAGACAATTTATTGCATAACGTTCAACATAACTCTTTCACCCCACCCCAATATTTTATTCATTTCTAAAACTAAGCTATTAAATTCCTAAACCTACATTTTCTATACAAAAGTAAAAATGTTTCACTATGTTTTCGATACCTTTCAATGGAGCTCAAGGAGGATTTTGCACAGAATGGGACTCCTCATTAAATTATTAGGTATTTAGTATTTTTCTACAACATCTTGTTACATAACATGTGTAGTTTTGTATAAAAGTCTATGTATCTTCCTATCTAATTGAAATGAATTCTTTTAAAACGGTAATCACAAATTGTTCCATGGTTCTTTCTGTTAAAAAAATTTCAAGAAATAGTAAAAAAACTAGCAATTACTAATCTAGGTTATAAAAGTAATCTCTATATTTAGTTTAATAAGCCATACTTGATAAAATACTAGTTAACTCATTATGACAACTTTTATATCTTAATACAATTGTCATACATTATCTTGCAGTCTTTTTAGGCCATAATTATCTTTTAATTAATATGAATGACTCTTATACTTTTCTTGTTAAACACTTACTTTTTAAATTGAACATGTCCGGTTACAAAACTCTGTCTGTATCTCGATCGTTCATAAAGCATGGACAACATGCACATTGGGGTAAAAAAAATTACTAGTTTTGTCAAAATCTTTTATTAAAAAAGTTCCTATATTTTTAGGATAATGGTCACATTGCTACTATGATGGATTAAAAGAATCATTAATAAACATTCAACCACAAATTGACCAAATACAATAACTCTTATTAATAGCTACTAATCAAGCTAAAGAATTATCTCTCCAACTTCAAACATTGCTTGAGGATTAGGGAACCTATTGAAAACAACATTCTAAAGACCATTAGATACAAGCAGGAGATCAAAATATCTTAAAACAACAACTAGAAAAAAGAAAAAGTTTACTACTACCATTGAAGCAAAACAAAGTAACTGTTACAAGATCCTTAGGAGATTAGCTCATACTTGAAATAACAATATAATAAGATCTACACTTCTTCCTCACCTTCTCATTCTAGCCTACTCTCATCCCTATACTCGAATTCTATCACAAAAATTGAAAATGAACACCTTAGTGCTATCACTCAAGATATGGAAATGTATAAAACACTCAAAAGCATTAGCTCCAAGAGAGCCCCAGGGCTTTCTTCCGCATTCTATAAAACTTATTAGAAACTTCTTCACCTATATATCATAGCTTATGTTAAATCCTTCTTTCATTCGATGTATCACTTAAAAGGACTTAATCAAAACTAATATTGCTATTATCCCTAAACTTAATTCACCTAAGAGAGTCTAACACTATAGACCCCTCCCGTTATGCAATATAACTATAAAATTATAGGAAAAATTCTTACTAACCAAGTTATATTACTAACAAATCACCTAATTTCACTACACCAATATGCTTATAAAAAAAATAGACACATTTAAGATAATTTGCTAGTAGCATAGGAACTTCTCCATTCTATGGGACATAAAAATGAAAAAAGGGCTTATTTTTTATTATATGTGATATGAGTACGGGTTTTGATAAAATTGAGTGGGGTTTTCTTACCCAGGTTCCCCATTATATTGTTTTTTTTTCACCAAAGTAGTATAACTACTTTCCCTATTTATACTATAGTTTCTTACCAACTTGTTATCAATGACATAATTATTTGAGGTAACTACTCTCAAAGAAGTCTTAGGCAAGGAGATCCTCTTTTTTTCTACTTATTTATTCTTTGTACTGATGCTCTCCTTCATTAACTAACTCAAGCATAAATATAAAAACTACTACATGAACTTTAACTCAACTTTAATATTCACTCAGTTAATCATGTGCTATTTGTTGATGATTTACTTTTATTTGAATTTTGTTAAAGTTTAATATACTAAATTATAGTTGTCAATTGAAAATGTTTTGGAATTTGTTTATTGTTATACTTTTTCAGTATATAAATTTATTTTTTTATAATTATGTAAATCTACATAACTCAACCAGTTTAAGTTTTTAAATTATTTTTTAAGTTGTGAAGTTATATTATTTTTTTTTCTTATACATTTTGAAGAATAAATTGCACGCAAAAACTTAAGACGTATAAGTGACTAAGGATCATGACGTAAAGATGTAAAACATATTAACTTCAGTTTGGATTTAATTGAAATTTGGAAAATATTTTATTTAAGAAGTTTAATTCCTTGAACTTTGAAGAATTTGGAAGAGTCATCAATTATTTAACATTTGAGGCTCAGTTTTAGTTTAGTCTAAGATTTATTTTAAATCTTGTGTTCATGAATTTTTTTTATTCATAAATGTAACATATTATAACAGATCCAATTCTCTATTTAGGGTATTAGAAGTACATTCTCATGTTAGAATATACTTTATCTTAGCATATTGTTTGAGTCAATCTCACTCCAACCCTTCAAATTCCCATAGTATCTTTCAACATTGAAAGCTCCTACGAAGGCCTCACATTCTATCCAAGCATAAACTCTTGTGGTGGCTTATCGTTCATAAGAGTTACTAGGTATGGTTACACTAATATTTCGTCGATGTTTCTGAATATAGATTCTATGAGTTATTGGAAGCAGATACATTACAATATATGCTCATAGAATGTCTTTTAGGTAGACTTCCACGGTATGCTTTCTACATGGAACATCAAGCTAGCACCTACTTTTAATTACAGATATAAATGTGTTATGTATCTTCTACCAAATCAAGGCCTGATGCACAAATCTACACGAAAATCTTTAACTAGGCTACTGTTATAGTGAATTATTTCTATTATTGGATAAATCAATACATGCATATTCTCAGAAAAGCAGACATCATGTACATAGCCAAAAATATGTATAAAACAACATTTTACATTAACAAAAATGTTGAGTCTCTACCAGCATGCATGTGATTCGTGTAACTTTTTTGAAGAAAGAGAAGGTTTCAAGTATTATTTGTGCTTCTGCAGTAGATCGAGACACTACTTTTTGCTGCATTATACTCCAAGCAGCTTAATCCCTGTACGCTTCTCTCTTCACCTGGCATGCTTTTGAGCTGTTTTAAGCTAATCTCAAGGGTTTTGGGGATATTTTTGCACGTCTAAAAGCTCTAGGTCTTTATTAGCCAATATATATATATATATATATATATATATGTAAAAAGGAATATAAGAGGCTTCACTTCATTCAGCAGTGGGCTCTCATTTTATCTTCACTGCTTTAGTTACTCTATGGCTCATTTTGAATATACTATAAGGATATATAAAAATAAGAGTGATTAGGAGTAGAGATAAGAGTGAGGCAGGAGTAATATAGTTAGTAATATTTGAATTCAATCATTGAATATAATATATTTGAATTATCCGCACCTTCATCAAACTCAGCCATTGAATTCAAGATAAAAATAAGAGTGAGATAAGAGTAACTCAACACTAGAAAAAAATTATTTTATAATTATACACATCAACATTACTATAAACTTAAAAATTAAAACTAAACTTTACCTCCTTGATTCAGTTGATTGTTGAAAGCTTGCAAGGTCCACACTCTCTTGTAGTTGGAACTTGCAACAGAGTAAGAGTAGAGAGGAAAAATTCCACTGCATATAATGTCAACATTTGGTTCTACTGGCCAAAAAAAAAAAGGAGCTTCTCACTTCACGATCACATCCAACAAAACAATTGTATTTGATTATGCAAAAAATCTTCTCTTACAAATTGATTGAAACGAATCTCATTATCACAAAATTATTATCAACATAAGAAACACATCACACATTAACAAAAATGGGAACCCAGTAAAAAAAAAAAAAAAGAAAAAAAAGATGGAGAGTTGGATTTTACAAAATTCCAATTCTACCCACGCTAGAAAGAGGACAATTTCCCAGACATCCTAATATAGCCCAGGCCAACCTCTACTGTCCAAATTTAACAAACACGATTCTACAATTGTTTTTCAAGTTTTCAATTCACCCCCTTCCCCTCCTTCCACAAGAAAGCTGAAGAGGCATAAAACAAGTAAAAAAAGAATACCACTTGACAGATAATTTCAGGGGCAAACCTCCCATCATTTCCGTGCCCTTGCATCTCCGGCAGTTTTCTTCAGATCCTCTTTTCCAGGCACAAATCTTGGTAGAGTTAAAAGGGTGTTGACTCGAGCAACTCCTTCAAGAGCAGACCACTCTGTTCCTAGTTCTGTAGGCATTAAGCCGTCTTCTTCACTTGCTTCTGGGAGTATTTCTTCATCATTTCTTACAGTGCCTGAACGTTCCAGACTCGCTGGTTCAGAAAGGTCATCTTTGTTGTTACCAATATTAACCTGCTCCACTGAAAATTGATCTTCTTTGGGCTTTAAATTGGAGGCAGTAGATACGTTGTTTTTGTTGGAATCCAGAAATAGGCATACTACAGCACAGTCATCAACTTTAGAAGTTGGGTACTTGTATCTCCAGGCTCGTACTGCAGACTCAACTAACGCTCGAGCTGCGGAGGAACGTGCTGGAGCTGAGGCTACAATGTCTATGACCTCTTTATTTGAGAGAACATCCCAAATCTATGGAGAAATGTAAGTTCTTTTAGATTCAGAAAGTGAAAAGAAACAAAATGATAACAAAAAATATCAATATAAATCTATTCATAGCAAGAATCTAATTTTATAATAACAGCGGTAGACAATGTCCGGAACATATTCAAAACGTTTTTAATTCATTTGCAAAATTCATGCTTAAAGATTCTCTTCAAAATATTAAAATTTCACTTCATATGGCATTTCAAGTGAATTTCGACACGCACTCTGATACATGAACTTTGCAAGGCATTTTATCAATTCCATATGTTATTCTATATAGGATTCATCTTTATCTGCTAATAGAATTTTTATCTGAGTTTGGATTTGCAAATGAATTTTTAAAAAATTTCTTAATTTGTTCCAGACATATCCTTAAAGAATTTGTAGATCTCATACCCCATCTGTGGCTAAAACAACAAATTCATCCTTCTCTGTCAGGCATCGATAGGATATTTCAGGAACAGAGATCAGGCCAAAGTCCTTGAGGCAAAAATCTCCAAAAGCACGAGCCATAGCAAGTCCTGGTGAGTCATTATTTGGCAGCCAAACACGAGCAACCTCAGGCTCATCCTGAAGAGCAAATACACGTCCTTTACATTTGCGAATTCTCTCTGCTTCAGCTGTAAATGGGAAAATTAGTAAGAATGTATTCTAATTCATACTCTATTTTTCTAGCTTCTGCATTTGCCTAAGAATTATTTTCTAATACAAATATTGCCAAAGGAAGTCCCCTTCTATGGAAAGGAGGGAGAAAAGAGCAACTACAATATATAAACATGCGACAATTTGACCATTGAAGTAACCGCTTATTTTCATTTCATAATTGATGCAGAATGGATTAGCACTAGATTTTCTAAATAAATTAAAAATTGTAATTATATCAAATGTAAAAATATACTATTTAGGAGTCTAATATTATATTATTGAGGACTATTATTATAGTTTTAGTGATTTAGGATGTCTATGTTTATTGGTATCCATAATATATTAGTATTAGTTTTTTATTCTCATTAAGATTAGTATTTTTAATTATAATAGTTTACTATTTCTTATTTTAATTCTATTTAGAAAATGTTGCTTACAGATTATTCTAAATAGTTTGTAATTTCACTTATTGGGGCATTCAAGTATTCAATAATATATTTTAAGACTTTATTATTTTTTGGGTTATGTGATGCAATCAAACACTTAAATGTGATGTTTTAGACTTCTTATGTGTGATGTCTATAAGGTTGGGGATGCGTTGCGTTCAAAGAGATTATTATAAACAAGCACACTATTTAGTTACCCCACAGATGTCTATAATGTTTGCTGTTGAAAAGAATGACCAAGCAAAAACTTACTACACTCTTAACTCGAGTATAAGGTTTTACATTATTCACCACTTCAAAACTCGAAAACGAGCTTTCTCCAACCAAGGGAGAATGATGCAGAATGGGTTAGAGCTAGATTTCCTAAATAAATTAGAAATTGTACATTACATTATATGTCAAACAACTATACTATTTAGGAACCTACTTATATATTATTTAGTAGTAGTATTATAGTTTTAGTAATTTACGATTTCTAGTTTCATAATATTATTGATATTGGGTTTCTTATTCTTATTAGATTAGTGTTCCTAATTCGACTACTTTACTAATTCTTATTTTAATTTATTTAGAAGTTTGCTTAGAGATTATTACAAATAGTTT